ATTCCTGAAAAGTCTGCTTATGTCAATAGAAGGAGTATGAGAGAAAATTGCTATTTGTCAAATGTAATTTGCTAGATCACCTCCACTGTAAGACTACCCACTTTTTAACATTACAGGGCATAAACGCTCTAAAGCAGTAAGACAACCATGAGGGGAGTGGCGTTACAAAGTTTCATTTATGTGCATGGGTGGGGAGACTTGCTCGCAAATCACAAGTTCAAGCTTAGAATTCTCTGGGTTATTTTAAAATAGAACAGGTGTCTGAACAACAAAAAAATTAACTGTACTGTATGAAATTAGCTCACCATCTTCAGTATGAAGTGATTTTAAATGCTGGTTGTGTGTTTTTTTTCAGAACTGGCTAGATTCTTCGAAGGAAATTAAGAGACAAATTCGAAGTAAGTACTTCTGTATTCAGATGTTATGCTCCTTTTATTTCCTCACAGAAATATTCTTCATAAACTTCGTAGCCTGGATGTTGGCTAAATTGTATACTTCCAGCATTAAAATAATTTACATCTGGTAATGACATATTCAGCCTTAGAACAGAAAGAAAAACTTCTATTTCTGTGCACTGTCCAAGAAGGAGAGAAAGAATCACTCGGCTTTGTGCTGTAGAAGTTAATCGTTATACTGGCTGCTGCCCCAAAATTTTCCTGTATTGTATGTGACTAGTACTTGATCTTTTTTGCATCCTGAAACAGTAATGTTTTTCAACCTTGTGCTGGTATTTGGGTTATGGGATGGAGAATGTCACCTTGCAAAGATGGTCATGGTTGTTGCTCTACAGACTTTCTAACTTCAAAGACTCACCAGAATAATATGAAACTATAAAAAGAGAATCAATATGTCTTACAGAAAATGTATATTCTTCAATACTGATCAGTTCAGCATTGCCTTTTTTGATGTATCCATCATTTCCAGAATGGAAATGGGATAGAGAGCATAACCTTGGAACGTCTTGCTACAATGCTTTTCAGACTGAATTAGTGTGAAAAGTCTTTCTATTTCCTATCCTCAATACACAATGAGTAATTTATTTTACTCTGTTTGCATAAAACTCTGTCAAAACTCTTCACTAGCTAGGTAGCTTTTGTAGTAGATAGGGGAGTGAATGGAGAGTAAATTTAGGAGATACTCTTCCTGAGTCTATGTGTCACAAAATAAGTAGCCACTAAGAAGTGCTAGACAGCCCTTGCCCTTACTGAAATTCTTCTCATTGCTTTACTCATTTGTAGCTGATGCAAGTTTTTTTGTTGTTGTGTTGTGTTTGATGGAAACCTTCTTGGGGTAGTGCCTGATAAGAAATATAAGTGGGGAGGAGATGAAGATGATGATAATAAGATTGAGATATCTATACTTCCAACACAACTGACTTCAAACTTTTTTGGGGAATGTGATCCAGTGGGAGCACTTGTAATTAAGAACGGAGTGTGTTATTTACAATGATAAACAGGTGGTTTCTTTAATATTGTTAACTTCCTGCTTTAACACAACAGTCACATTTTTCCAGAAATCATAGTGGTGTTAATTCTGTTTTCTTTAGACCTGTCCTAGTTGATGAAATCCCTTACTAGGAAGGTGTGGTTTGTATTTTCAGTAAAGAAATGAAAGTTACAGAAGCTTCCTTGGAAACTGTTTTTTTGATCTAACATGCTCATGTGTAAGCAAACTAGACCTATTCAAGTGGTGAATGTACTAATATACTCATGCAAGTAGAGGCCATCCTTTTAATTAAGGAAGAGTTACTGGTCTTGTAACTTCTTATTCTGCAGGTCTTCAGTAAAAACCTATTAGTTGTTCAAATACTTGTGCTAAAGGCTAATTTGTTTGCTTTTAATATTTGACAGAAGATTGAGGATGTTGATACTTTTTGTTACTGTCTTGTGTAGTGATCTGTATGCTATATAGCCTACAAGTAAGTATCTTGAATCTGAGGTGTAAGAACCAACCTGAAAAATTTTTGGATGCACTACACAACATTTTTTTAATACTGTATAGTATGTACTACAAAATTATTTTAAGGGAATGTGATTTTTCATACAGCATGAAGACCTACATTTTATATTGGAGATCAAGTCCAGTTTCTTGAATTAGGCATCATGACTGGAATTTTTTCTCTGGTCTGTAGCACTTCAGAGTTGATAGGCATAGTGTATAAGGCAAACAACCAAATAAGAACACCATTTTAAGGATTTTAAAATGAAACTTGCTTACACCGATTTGCAAATAATTAGTATACTGTCAGTTGTGTTCCTCAGAACCAGTGTATTAAAGTTTCCAGATACTGGAATGTACTGCAAAGACAAATTTTATCCCCCAGCTACATGAGTATCAAGTAATGAGGCTTTTCTTTGTTTCAGGCTTAGTTCTAAATATACTTGTCTTTGAATCAAAAATGGAAATCTTATGTACAAAAATACTCAATTATAATAAGTTTAAGGTACCTGTAAAACCTACTAGTCCATTTGAACATTTGAAATTAAGAAACTAATTTATTTTTCTCTTGTACAGCACAAACTGAAGCACTAGCATGCTAAATAAGCGTATCTGGACAAATACATTGATCTGAACACACAAAGGTGACAAATTTGGAAGTGGAGTTCAGCACATCAGTTTGCAACTTCATGTTTATAACAATCTCTGTCTCTCTTACATGTGAGCAGAATACCAATACTCTTCACGTTGGGCATGTATGTACCACCTGTGACTGGGGAAGACTAAATAAGAATCCTGTAGTCTCCCCCAAGTCGTGTTCTGCATCAGGCTGCCTCTTGCCAAGTCACGGTCCTCAGGCCTTGTATGTGATCTCTTACTTGTTCAGGTTGGCCTTTGGCTGGGCAATTATGTTGGATCTCAGCAATTACTGATGTTACTTCGGCTAATGAACGTGATCCACAAATTACTGGCTCTCCTCAGGGCTACAAAGGTGGCAAAAAGCTTGTTCACTTTCAGCCAGTGTGATCTCTTCAGGAAATTTAATTCTCTACTTTTTTTAATGCATGTAATTGGATATCCACTGGCATGTGTTAAAACCTCTAATTAATTCAATCAGGGACAGGTGGGTAATTACATTTCTGTCACCACATTCTTGAAAATTGCTGCATCTAAAGTGGATTCAGGCTTTTGCAAAATTAAGAACTTCAGCTTGAATATTGTGATGATACAAGCAGTAGCAGCTGACCTTGGCATAGTCAAATCCCAGACTTCACAGAGGGTGTGGTGGTTCACTCTTATATAAAATTTAATTTGAGAATTTATCTGTGTGAGATGTTGTACATGCAGTCAGTACAGAACACATGATATTCAACTCAATTTTGTCTATAGGCATTTGCATAACTCTCCTTCTCAGTGTAACAATGAAATCAGTAAACTACATAAACCTGGTTTCATCATAGTGTATTGCAATTGAAGATCAATCTTTTGTCTGCAATGTAAATGTTTACAGTTATGGGTAAAGATTAGAGATGTGAATGTATAAATCATCTGTTTTGGGAAGCCTAATTATTTCCTTTATTGTTTGTGTAATTGAAGTATATGAAAATGGGTTATTGACCTGATTATCTTTCTCTTCACACAAATTTTGAAACTATTTTTGGGATATATCCTGGTTTTAGTGTGGATGTAATTCACTCTCTTCCACATGGAAATTGGATTTGTATGCTGTGCGGAATAGTTTTAATCTAAGTTAATGTTATGTCAATTAAATCTCTTTCTAGTCTGCAGCACGATTAGTATTTTTAATTGCAAAAAAATACTTCCATATTGCATATCTTGTGTTGTGTATCTTACAAGAAATGGAGAGGATTTGGATATTCTGAAGGCAGAATAGATGGGGGGGGGGGGTGCATTCTCACCTGATAAAGGATACATTTAACTGGTTTTGCTCTTGAAGTTAACTGTAAAATTGTCTTACTGTCTTTTGTCAAGAGAATACTTATTTAGCCAGAAAGATTCTAGAAACTCATCACTCTACCCAGGATATGACTAATCTGATCTAATTTAGGTTAACTGTATCCACTAAGGTAAATGCACTTGGTTTTTGGAGGAACAAGTGCACACTCACTTTCAGGAGGTGAGTGAGTGCATTCTGAAATAGGTGTCTGAGAGGGAAACCAAACCAAATGCCCCTTTTCTTCCATTGGCTATGAAGGGAGTCAGTGGTGTCTTATGTATATAATTACATCTCAGCAGTCTAGGGTTGAAAGAAACTGTGTCCACTAGCATCAAAAGAGATAATGGATACGGTGATAGAAAAGTTGTTTTCTTTTTATTTCGGAGTGATTAACTGAAGGACTGAAGGCAGAAAACTTGCATGTTAATTCAGTTTAATTATTGAGGGGGGTGGGGGAATCCTCTGTAATTCTATGGAAGTGGATTAGAACAGATGAAATAGTACAATAGGTAAGGCAGCTGGTGACAAATCTGTGGCTATAAGTTTAAACCTTTCTCTTTAATCATGCTGAAGACTGTTCTTAACATCCTTTTGTTAATGGGCGTGACTCATTCAGATTGGGGAACTTAAAATCAGCCAAATGCAATACTGGCCTAGTCTTTGAGACATACTTAGCCAACAGTTAAGGTAGTTCTGGGAATCTCATGAAGTTGAAGTGGATTTTTTTACATTCTTGGTTCTATGGTATATTCTGCAACACAGCCTGAACAACTGCTCAGGAAAGAGGATGATACAGAAGACTAATGATAGAGTTAAATGGCTATATTTTCAAATTACACAGTAGACCAAATGGTGATAAATTCATAAATACAATTCTGTGAGAAAAATATAACACGAATTTACGATTTTTCAGCACAGTGTTCTAAAATATTTAAGAAATCTAAAGTTTGTATTTGAAGTGCTAAGGGAAGTTAGAATTAATTAAGGAAAAGGCTTGCATTTTAAATGTACAGCTCTGGCTGTCTGATTTTGATGCTAACAAAATGTATGGTTATGCTTAGGCATCAAAATATGGGGGTCACTTTATGCAGGGTCACTTTATTTTATATCCATCTATTTTATGTAAATAACCATATATTTGTAAAAGTTGTAGCTAATTTTGATCTAAGAAGAACTAAGTACCTGTGCCAAGGGAAGAGCTGTCCTGCAGAAGTGCTTCTGTATGCCTACTAATTATAAAGAATGATTTTGCAGTTTGGAGATGTCTCAGTTTGTGAGCTGAATCTTGTCAGTCCAACCAGGTCTGTCTGTTCTCTGCTTTTTATGCATTTTTGAAAATGTGGACTGGATATAGATCTTCCTTATTTCTTTGATTTTCTTGACGGCAATTTCAGAAAAATTATAGAAGTAATTTTCTTAATTTTATGGGGCATTTTTACATCTGTCTGTGAGTAGTGTATCTGTCCTACTTACACAGTACCCTAAAAATCTTAGCTGAGACACAACAGATACCATGCGTAAAGGCCAGAAAAAGCCTTTACTGGAAAAAAACCCTCACTGATTTCCCAGTTTAAATGGGATGAATCATGTTAATTGTATGCTGCTAGCTGGTTGGTTATATTGCATTCTTTTTCTCTAAGAATGTGCCTAAAGTTGCCACAGAAGCATTTTTGAGGTAACAAGCTGGCTAGAAAAGTTTTTGACATTTCTATAGCCTATATTATTACACATCAAAACAGAGAGCCTTATCAGGGACAGAATGCTAAATATCATTTTAAATATCAGATTTATTTATTTTTTTGTCTTGGCCACCAATTCAAAGTGCCAATAATAGTGTGCATTATTGTGTGAAGACAATTATGTTTGTATGCCTTGGTTATGCAGCTATAAACAGTATGCTGTAGTGAGGAGTATAAATATAGACTGTGCACATTGTAATATACTTGCTAGTCTATATTCAGGGGATAAATGTGCTTTCAGTAATCAGGCAAAATATAAGGTCACCAACTGTATTTAGTACAAAGTCAACTACAACATTTTTTCAACGGATTAGCTATGGAATTAGTATGAGTAGACATCTGAAATTTTTCACATAGTCTATACATTCAGAGGATTTACGCTCTTTTTAGCTTTTTGTGGAGAATATAGATTTTTTTTTTAAAATTATTTTTTTCTTCTTCAAATGGTGTCTAGGTCTCCTGGCTACGGTGCTTTCTGAAAGCTAACTCTAGAAATGCTGACAAGGAAGAGAAATATATTAGGCAGGAATTCATCTGCGACTAGTTTAACTGCAATTTTAGACCAGGAAACATTTCTTCATTCCAGGAAAACCCGAAGACTGGTTTTGTACCTGTGTGGAAGGACACATCCTTCGTCCATCTCTCCCCATCCCACAGACCTGTTAACATGACAACTCTCCCTGAAAACTTTTTGCATAGATATTTTGGCCCAATTGCTTCTCCTCATCCGTTTGGCTTACTCAGTATCAGCACCTTTTCATTAAATGATGCTAATTCCCTGGGATATAAATGATGGAATTGGGCTAATCTATTCCAGCTTTAATTCTGTTTGTCATACTATATGTATTAATTAGTGTTAGTCAATTTTTTAAAGGTATTTTTGTCTTAAGTCTGTCTTGCACTGGATTGCAGTAGATGATGCAATGAGGCGTATTTTACCCAATTCAGTACTATATGCACATCTGATAAATTAGGCTTTCTCATTTAAGGAGTCCTGCCTTATTTTGTAAGCAAAGTTATCATTGTTCTAACAAATAATTGATAACTTGGAATATTAAGATATGCTAAAACTCTGAGCTCCCAAAAGGAAATAGTGACTTAGCAGCCAGGTGGAGAATAAGGTTCACACTTAAGCAGAAATTGAAGTGCTCCAATGAATAGTCATGTCTGAAAAACTGAAATAATTTTTGAAATGTTGAAAGACATTAGAAATTTTGACACAAAGCACCTCTTCAACTTTAACAGCTGTGAAATTTTAAACCAAGATTTTTTAAAGAACCTTAAACAAAAATGTCAGCACTCTTTTCTAGCACTATGTTGGAAATGCCATTTCAGCCTTTTTTTTGTTGTTGTTAAAATACACATTTTTCAAAGCATGATTATCTGTGTAGGACAGATTTTTAAAATTGTTTACTGTCCAAAATTCATCATTAACAAGCTTTATGAAATGGTTACGATTTTTTACCAAAGACTATTTTTGCTAGGTCTTTCACCAAAATATTATTTGCCTCAGGAGAAAAGGGGTGAGAGAAAGACAAAAATGGCTACTTAATTGTTTCAATAATATTTTGATTTCTTTTCTTATCTTTCTTCATAATTTTTAGCAGGTCTACATTGTTGTGTTATTTTCTTTGTTTGGCAAGTTACGATAAAGCTCAACTGCATTTGCTTGCAAGCAGCATGCAAAAACAAACTATTAAATTCTTTTCCTAGACTCCTATTTTGGGATTTTCTATTACATATGAATGTCTGCATTGTAATTAATAAAATGTGTTTGAATTAGGAAAGTTCTACATTTTGTCAAGTTATTAGTACTTTCCAATGAACCTATTCCTCTTGCACATAGTGTTACAATACTGGTAGAGTAACATTCTGAGAATGTATTTTAATTATTGATGAGTGACTTCAGCTTTCAAATCTTAAAAATTTATTTAAAGCTAGAGCTATGACTAAAGGCAACATTTTATGCTTTGTCAAATTATTAAACTGGTTTTAAGCACGCTTCTGCTTTAAAAATGTATGTGGTGTTAACAATTCTAACACATGAGAATTTAAACTTAAAATATCATTGCTATTATAGTTTCTAAAGGTATTGTTTCTCAAAAAATATTTTAAAGGGGGAATGGCTAATACTTTTTATCTTCAATGCATTCCATATGAATACAAATAATTTACTTACAATCTTTCTGTTGTATACAACGCAGACCTCATTTTGACATCTGATGTTCATATTTATTGTAGTATCTCAAACCAACAGTCAGTTTAAACAGGAGGAGACTGTTAGCCTTGGAGGAGTTGGGAATAAACAGAAATTCAGTGCAAATGTCTCTGAACACAGGATATCTTAAAAGTGTTAATATATTATGGTAGTCTTCAAATTAAAAACATCTTCTGATATTTACGTAACTTACTGTAAAACATTCTTTAAAAATAATTTTGAACATGCTAATCTTTCACTGTATGTGTATATGAGTTACTACCTGATAATGAAAATAATATATGCTTCTTACTAATACACTGTAAAAAGAGGGAAAAAACTTTATTCAAGATTTCAGTGATCTAAGATTTATATGACTGCCTAGCATTTTTCAGTAAGGTTCTTTCTTTGCTTGCTTCAACTTGTTTGAGAGTAACAATCAGACATTTCCCATGTTTAGGTTTACCTTGGATATTCACCTTTAATGTGAAGTTTTATCCCCCTGATCCTTCACAGTTGACTGAAGACATCACTAGGTATGCATAGTTCCTAATGTTAAACTTAAAAATTACTGTTAGTCTAATTTGAAGGCCATATAGAATTTCTTCTTCAGTTTCTGGATGCTGTAACAGGTTTGGCTATTACTGTGCAACACTATAGATGTTCTTACACCAATTGCTTTTTGGAACAAGGTTGAAAAGGCAAAGTGAAAACTTCAGCAAGAAACTTGAGAAAGAATAATTTAACAATAAGTGGGGATATGATTTGGGCAGGAGGTAAGTTGTGAATGATCATATCTGAAAGAAGCCAGTGGTTGTCAGGCTGCTGCTTTATTATATAGCAAATGAGGGTGTGGGGGTATTGATATTAAGAGCAAAGCTCAGGGGATCCAACGTACTTCAGTAATAATCTAGGCTAGGTTGGTGAAAACATAGTTTTATACATATGCATTAAACAAAACCATAAAACATAATAAAACCTGAAAATAATTCTCTTCCAAAGTGTTTAGATAAAAAAATACTTAGAATGCAGTGGATACTAGGCACCTAAAAAGTAGCATTGCAAGACTAACATAACCAGTGGGTCGAGTGCAGGGTTTGGAGTTAGCTGACTCTGCTGAGGCATGGTATATGTTACCACACATCTCATTGGATCAGTCTTCTGCACAAAATAAGATAGCCATGCAAGTGTGTAGCTGATGTATTACTACAAATAGTCGAAGACATTTAGTACACAGTGTATTTAAAAGAAGCCGTCTGTGTTTTCTTTGAAAATTTTCAGTGAGTTGGTTGGCTTCTCAATTGCAACTGATAAAAGCATTTTTATGGTTATAGCTTAAAGCTAAATTCCTTACAATTTAAGCTTCACTTGTAAAACTTGTTTTTAATTTAGATTAAAAATCTGTGCTAGGGTAGGATGTCTACTGATTATTAACTTGTTAAATTTGGTAGAAGACTGTATTCAGTACCTGAAATATTAAATTCTAATACATACATGGTTTAAGGAAGGCAATTATGGGTTCAGTACTAAATCGGATTTCTTTTGTGTATTATATGACTTCATTAGCTCATGAACTTCAAGGGATATAAAAGTTAAGAGTTTTAAAGCCAAAGGAAAATGTCAAAGGAAATGCATGGGTGTTTATTTGTAAACCTTAGATACCTGCAGGCTACAATGTGAAATGAAGGAGTTCCTAAGTCAGCTTTTGTTACAAACTAGATACAGTTTTTCATTGATTTATATTGGAAGTCAGAATTTTTCCTGCTCTTCACATTATTTATGAAAATAATATTGACTCTTAAAAATGGAAGTGAAATTTACTGTTTGGCAATAATGCTCAAATAATGTAAGGTGTAACAAATTATTAATGCATTGACTGGTTTTAAAATACGCTTATATGATTAAATGAATCCCGATAAATTCGGCCATATCGCTCATAAACTTGCCATTCATAACACTTTGCCTGTTGTTGTTTTATTTGTTTGTTTGTTTTTTCCTCTTTCCTTTGTCTTGCAGATATTTCTTGTGCCTACAGCTTCGTCAGGATATTGCTTCTGGTCGACTGCCATGTTCTTTTGTGACACACGCCCTCCTTGGTTCATATACACTGCAGGCTGAGCTGGGTGATCATGACCCAGAGGAGCACCGCAGTGACTATATCAGTGAATTCCAATTTGCACCCAATCAAACTCAAGAAATGGAAGAGAAGGTAGCTGAGCTACACAAAACACACAGGTGTGTCAGATACAGTGGGATTAAATGAAATCATCATGCTTTGTCATGTTTATGTCAAGTCTTTTAAGAGTATATGCAAAACTGCTACGCTGAAGTTATGGTTACTTTGGAAATCTTTTGCTGTGTAACTAGAACATCTTTCATGTGTTTAAAAATTTCAGTTTGAAAATAGTAGCTTCACTAAGATCTCAGAAGAGAACTTTTGGAGAAAATATTTTTATCTGAGCATATGAATTAGTTTAAGCAACATAGAGCTAGAATCTTTTGAAATAGTGGAAATCTCTACTAAAGGACTATAATATGCTCTGAAAGAACACTTTCCCTTTAGGGCAAAAATGCTATTGATGCCTTACAAACTGAGGTTCTTCCATGTGTCTGAATTCCAGGTTTCCACTCAGTTTTGGTTCTCAGTTCTTTTGTCAATAAACTCAAGGCTTATTCAATGGTTTCAGGGGCTTGACTCCAGCTCAGGCGGATTCCCAGTTCCTAGAAAATGCTAAGAGACTCTCCATGTATGGAGTGGATTTACATCATGCCAAGGTATTGGGGATTGGGTTGATTTTGTTTTCTTTTGGGATACACATGCTTAATATTAAAGGACATAATATATATAGATTATTTTAAAAAATTTCATACCCTCAGTTCTTAGGTATAAGCCTCTAACCTCTTGGTCACAATAATTACTCAGTTTACAGCTCTAACATCCTTAGAATTTATTTTAAATCTAAGTTTATTTAATGCATAGATGTATGTGCAGCTTGGAAATAATATTTTATTCATAAGAGCAGCTAAATACATTTTAAATGTCAGATTTTTGATGCCAAGGAGGCATGGGGCCATAAAGTAAAGCCTAAAAGAACACGTAATTGTTTTTGTAATACCATGCGAGTTAAAAACAGTGGGGGGAGGTCTTGGGGGAGGGTGGTTTTTGGTGCTTTTTCCACTCCTCTGGATAGGTCAAATCAAATTTGCATTTCTAGAGGGATTTTTTTACTTAAAAAACTAACAAACCAACTAAACAACTCCGTCCCGCTGCCTCGCACAAATCCAGAGTCTCAAGTCATCAGGGAATTGAATGCATTGTAAAGTATATCAGTCCTATATTTAAAAAAGAAAACCAAGACTTATAAGTACTGGAGAAACAGTGTTTAATTCTGTTTTATATGGAAATAATGTGCACTTGTTTTTGCAATTTTCCATAGACTTTTTCATGTGTTCTGTTAGAAGCACTTGAAAGAAATACACTTAAATTTTTATTCACATACATTAACTATGTCTGCAACATTTATTCATTTTTAATAAAAGTGCAGCATGGCAGTTCACTTGGTCTGTAGTGTTTTAAGGAACTTAGCTTTTTAGGGTTTTATTGGAGTTTTCTTTTGCTGTAGTGAAGTAACTGCATTAGAACTGCTGTTGGCAAGGATCCACTTGCAGCTGTTAGTCATGCCAGTGAAGCAACTTTTTAATGACAGTGTTGGCATTTGATGTAGTTGATTTGTTGTTGGGGACAACATGAGATTCTGCTGTATTGTGTACTGGTACAGTTCATTGAAGCCTTATCAGTAAGTGATCAGTTTTGTAGCCTGTAAAACTTGCATCAGACACTGTCAGTGGAACAGAATGCTCAGAAACCCAGCCCACCAGCACTTTGAAATCATTGTGTTGACATTTTCGGCTATCAGCTATGCATTACTTTCTACATCTCTGCAGGAATAGTAAGTGACTGTAAAAGATCACCATGATCACCAACTTGTTCAGACTTCCACTGGCTGTTTTAAGTTAGAAAGGCCTGTTTTTAATTTTTCTTCTTTTAATATTTGTTGAAATTATGGATAGCACACCCACCATACCTTTCCTTGCATGTAAGTTGTTTACTTAGTCCCTATTGCCAGAATATTGTAGAATTTCCCAGAACTGTGGCATATGCAATGGCATGAGTGCCAAAGCCATTACATAGAGTCCAAAGATTTTCCTATAAAATTAATATACTTGGCTATTTCTGCTTTAAAAATCTCATTGTCAGGGTCTTTCAGATTTGAATATGAAACAAGTCCCAGTTGCATTATTCTCTCAAGGTATGCCAGCGATAATTAGTTGTTTGGAGTGTTATTAAACTGATTTTTATGGAATTGTTTCATACGTCATAGGATTCTGAAGGTGTGGATATCATGCTGGGTGTATGTGCTAATGGACTGCTCATTTACAAAGATAGACTCCGGATCAACCGCTTTGCTTGGCCAAAAATTCTGAAGATTTCCTATAAGCGAAGTAATTTCTACATCAAAGTCAGGCCAGCAGAAGTAAGTAGTACCTTTCTGTCTTGTTTCTTTTGTGAGATCATTTCTATCCAGCAACAAGGTAACATCCTCATTTTTTCTCCCATAAGCCTCACAGGCTTATGTTGGATTTGAGCAGAACTTAACAGGGTTTTGTTTTTCTCTTCAAACTATACCAATTGTATTAAACACTTGCCTTGATTAGTAAATGCAAACCAAGAAGAAAATCTGTTTTCTTTTCCTGATAGATGCCATCCTGTAACTTTTTTTTACAAGGAAAGCCAGTTACACTGGCCATGTTCTTACTGTCTATACAAACTTGCAGTCCTGGGGGAGAGCCAGCCTCTCTTCTTCTTTGGGTATAATTGTTGACTAAATGTCAGTGCGTCTAGTTGTATGGGTGTAACCAAAGGCTTGAGTTGTCCCGTAGGACGTTATAAATCTTTCTGTTAGCTGCTGTGGAAATAGAGAATTCAACTTTCTTTTCAGATACCATTATAAGTTTGTGGGAGTTCCTGAAGGAGGGTGAGGTTATGTTTTGAACACATTGTAACTGGAGATTTTGCAAAAAACCAAAATCTTGAACACTGTAATACTTTTTTAAATTATACTCTAAAATGTTTAAGGTAGCTTTTACTGTGTGAATAAATAAAACAAAAGAGAAGTCTGAATACCAACAGTAGAATACGAACACTGTAGTTTTGTAAATTTTGGAACACAGATGTATTGTTCTTGCACTCACTGATGGTGCATAGATGTAATACTTTTGCTAAGAAACTATTATATAGTGAAACAGATCAGGTAAGCTTAACACTGCAGTATGGATTTCAGACTTTTATTAAATCCAAGAAAAGTGTGCAGCACAACCCGCAGTACAATTACTTCATGCAGTTTAAAAATAAATACATTGGGCAGCTAGTCAGAAAATGAGCAAGGAATGCTAAAGTATTATTGGATTTCTCAAAAGACTCATTAGTACAACTAGGAAGTGATAATATCATTATTACCCATCATGACTAGCCTGCCAAATATAATTTTATTAAAAGGCTGGAAATTCTGATTTTTTTTTTTTTTTAAAAATCTTATGAAGTCTTATGAGAGCAGAATTACAGCTTGTTACAGTAATAGAACTATCTGAACTCTGCCTGCTAGTTAATAGCCAGCTTAAGGAAATGGGTTAATTTATTTGTGGGTTCTTTCCAGCTGGAACAGTTTGAGAGCACTATTGGGTTCAAACTGCCAAACCATCGGGCTGCTAAAAGGTTATGGAAGGTTTGTGTGGAGCACCATACTTTCTTCAGGTAAATGGTAATTCTCTGCTTCCCCCGCTTTTCCAGGTATGCTCATACCTTTCTTTGAAAGGATATGAGGAAAATAGAGATTTCCCCCCTTTTTGCCCCTCTAATTTCTCAGTCCAGTAACACCTCTTAGACAGAAGACACCCTACCAGTAATTGACCCCAAATTACCAATTCTGAAAGTCTCAAATACAATTAACTGTTTTATTTAAACTTTGAGTGCTAACAGTATGGAACTAAACTAGTGGTCATATGTAAGACTTGCTGAGAGATAACTCTTCAGAGCGACCATCTAGAAAGCCACTATACTATACTATATATAAACTATAAACTATATAGTTTCTATGATTCTATACCCCTTCACAAGAAGCTCTCAGGGCTTGATAGTAATCTTCATTCAATTCACTTTTTAGAATATTCTGCTGAGTGTAAATGCTTACAGCTGAATTTTTGCTTATTTGTAAACTGGGCTGAGTTCACAGTCATTCTTTAAAGAACAGAGAATCACTTGAAAAACAGACTACTATTTGTTTATATAATAATCCATAACTTTCTTTGCATTTTTTCCCTAGTAACTGATAAACATAAAATTCTGAATTGGTCATTGAAACTGTGGTCTATTTGTAAATGAGTACTTTAACAATAGGCCACAGAGTTGTTTCTCTTTCTGCTTCCTTCATTGAAAAGGAATTTGAAAAATCTTCATTTGACTTTTGTAATAGCACAAACTCCATGAGGGATTGCATGTACCCCATGCAGCCTAGGAGTCACAGATTTATGTTCAATCTGTTATGCATTGAATAGGCATTGAATCTGAGTTTCTTGCTTCAAATGAGCACAGTAACTATGGTGTGTGAAAGGTAAGCTTTCTTCTTCAGCAGTCTGGTTTTTTTATTTTAAAAAAGCAATTGTGTTTTAAGGTAGATGCAATCCTGTCTCTGCATACTGGTATAAGCTGAATATACTTGCTAGACTGAGACCTTCAAAGAAGTTGGGGAACATGAGACCTAAGCAGTTCATTACTAGAACTCTCACTGGGTGTTCTTCAGTATTCAGATTTTCAGTGAATGTAGAATATTCTTGAATGCAATATTAGAATTTGTTTTGAGATTGGCAGTCAGTCTCAAAATGCTTAATTTAGAAGCACTTCTTTTTGAAATCCTGATTAAAGATTTTTTTTCATGTTTGATATAATTCATTGGTTAGGTTTATTAAGATACATAGTCTGCCATTCTGTTCTTTACAATCTGAAGTCTGCTTTGGCTGGTGATGCCTGTTACCACAGATAGCATGCAGTTCTGTCTGTAATGAAAAGTTTATCAACACTCTTCAAAGAACTCATGCAGTGGTTTGCTTTGCTGGGAAGCTGTGTTTCCTAATTTTATAGTAATAAAATGGACCTGAATGGGGAAAAAACAAATCTTATGGAAGTCAAAAATCCTAAACTGAGAACTACCATTTGCAAATATAAGTTTCAAGGAGTGTTAATACATGTTAGACAATCTTGCTGCAGAAATTCTGACATAATAAAAATAATTGCATTTTATTCCAGTCAGAAGTGTCTTTTCCTAACCAGGAATGACATTATACTGAGAATTATGTAACAATACTTGAACCATTCTGTAAAATCCATATATTGCACTGACGTCATCAGACCTCTCATCCTTATTTAAAACCAGGAAAATAAATCCAGCTCTATTCTTCTCCAAAGATAAAAAGCAGAAAGCAATTGATAGAGTCCGAGAGACTGTAGCTCTTTCAGAGCACGTGTAAAGCTTGTGTATGATACCACAGAAAACTGTATTCAATCTAGATGTACGTTTTTTGCTTCTGGCTCTCTTAGCATGCTCTATATAACATTGTAAGATTCCTTGTGTTGTCATTTGCAATATTTCAGTTTTTCTCAAATAATTACATTAAGAACCATCTTCTTATAATGTATGGGAAATTCAGACAGCATATAAAGCTATTTATAAAAATCTGTAATGAACTATATTGAAAATGACAACCAAATTGGATTCACGTGTATCAGTTCAACCTTATAGGATTCCAGTAATGCTCTCAAAGAGCAACAATCTGATTTAAGAAATACAGTCAGACTATGTATCTACATTAATCTTTTGAGGTAAGCTTAGTCTGCAACTCTGGATCTTAACCAATGGCTGCAGAAACCTGCTTATAATTCTGATTTATGGTGGGTTTTTTGAAATTTTCGTGTTTGTTTCAGTGTCTCCCCAGAATGTCTTAAAATGGTAAAAGCATAGTCTTCAGTTATTTTATGTAATTAAGCTTGTAATACAAAAAAATCCATTCAAATGCCCTTAATCAGGAAGTAATTAGTTCTCTTGTTTTTTCCACATTAAAAGATTAAAAGTTTATCTCAGCAGGGTGGAAGATAAAAATGGCAGTTAGTTCTGTAGGCTTGCCAAGACTGGAAAAGAACAGAAGGAACCTTGGAAAAACCCTTTTAGCCTTCCTCCTCTTAATGCATAATGCAGTCTCTCTTGGAAATAATGTAGAGAAATAAATTGTCACAAGGATTGCATAAAGCTGTTTTATAGAAGCAATGAAAGTGAAGCTCCAGATACTTGCGATTTTATTATAAAAGTGGCCTTAGTGCAGAAGGGTGGATTAGTCTGTCTTGAATTCTGTTTGTTTTTTTTTTTAAATGTGTTGGAACAGATTAGGATTCAGGTGCGTGCATATGCATCTTAGGCATGCAGGATTGGATCCTTCTGGCTAGCACTCTGACAAAGCCATAAACATCCTCTCTTAGAGAAAATGGTAATTTTCTACCTAGCTCACCATTCTTTTTGCTAAGTATCTGAAAATTCTTCAGTTTTGCTGAAATATCTTTAGAATGACTGTCAGTTTTCAGAACCCACCACTGGATACTGTCTTAACATATGCTGGATCCTATTCCACTGACACAGATATTCCCAATGGAAATGCTTCAAAAGAGTAGAACAAAGTCAGCATACTTTCAAGTCTCGCTTGCCCATCTGTGCCATCCAAAGTACAAAGGGTACAGTAGTTGCTGGTTCTGCTTGAAAGGAGCTGATGTTCAGTGAGCTTCTCATTCTTTGCAGATCCTCAAATCACAGAGCTCTATCTGTAATAGTCTGATGCTTTTATACAGAGGGAGAATAGGCCATGGAGACTGCCGTGCTGGGTGAACATGTATCTGCAGCACTATGTTGATCCAAGGAGCAACATCAAAGACCTTTCTAAGGAAGCTGAGACTGGGAAGAGTTCCTGCAGTGATGACTGTTTATCCTATCAGCAAGGATGGCACTGGAACAAACAGTACCCTCAGTGTTGAAGCTGATGGCTTAGATTTCAAAAACAAAGTACAAGCAATGAGGGTTAGATGAATAAGCACTTGAAGTCCTCATACTGAAAGAAATTCAGGGAGGTATAGAGGACCTGTCTTTTCAAACTGACATGGTGTCAAAAACTGGTGGAACAAAGCAGAATCCCTCATAGCAAATTCTGGCGTGTTGTTACTTAGACTTTCTGACATTAACGCTTAGGTACAAACATACATACCCTGCATTAATAGTGTTTGAAACTGAATCTCTTTTTCACCCTTTTTACAATATGCTTTTTTCCCCCCGCATCAGCTTATCCAAATCTATAAATGACATTGTGAATCTCAATCTTCTTTTCACTTGATATAGCCTTCCATACAGCTTTGAGATGCCATTCCCTAACATTGAGGAATAGCAGCTGCCATATTGGTACCTCAGAATATAGGAAAGACAGTGGAAGTGGGATTTATAGTTCCTACTATACGTAATATTCTAAGAAGAGAGATCTGCGAGGTATTCTACATGGACCTATAATGGCCTCAGCTTTCTAGAAAAAATAACATTTAACCAAGGTAGCACAAAAAATAAGGATCCCAAATGCTTAGTCATACTGTGGAAAATGTGATGGTTATTGGCACCACTTCAATTCTAACTGCAAATAATAAATAACAGGCATTGTTTCAGAAGGTCTTGTCAGAGCTTGTGGTAGAATCCTTTGTTGGAGTGTACAAATCATGCATGGTGAACTAAAGTTGAAACCTAGTAAGTAGCTTTAAAGTACCTCATTAAATGCATAAAATAAAGCCTTTTTAACTGACTTTCTTCATACTTACTTTTTAGACTTCTATCACCAGAACAGCCTCCAAAAGCAAAGTTTCTAACCTTGGGTTCCAAGTTCCGCTACAGTGGACGTACACAAGCGCAGACACGACAGGCTAGCAGTCTCATAGACAGACCGGCTCCGTACTTTGAACGCACTTCAAGCAAACGTGTTTCCAGGAGCCTTGATGGAGGTATGAAATTTGACTTATTTCTTCAGTGTAATGATTACATTATGTGTTGTCACTCTGATCTGACCAGTGTTCAAAAATGGCGACATTCTGGATGGCCAGAATGTCTACTGACAAATTCATGAATTTCAGTTTCTGATGGGTGATGTGAAGAGTAGCCACTTTGGTTACTTTTCAATTTTAGGTGACCTAAACAGTAAATTAAGTCACTGTCTAAATTGTATGGCAGTGCTGTGAATATATGGAGGATTCTATATTGGACATACAGCATCTGTGTTCACTACTCATATTTCTTTTATGGGATAAGCATGCACTATATGCTGTTGATTAGAATTGTTTGGTCAGCAGCATCTTTTGGGCTCTGGGTTGGCCAGAACACCTCTCTACACCTAACAGTAAAGGCAGAACAAGTTTTTTTCTTCTAGTTTTGTATCATTTTCTTCAGTATATTGTTATCCTAGTATATTTATTAGTTAGTTCTGTGTTTAGTTAACAAGTTTTATGTTGAGGCTGTTTGAATAGCTAAAATTTTTGTGTCATCACTGGTATTTGGTCTCTTTGAGTTAGAAATACCTTCTGGTTTCCTTTATTGGGAACAGGCATGCTTTCCAAAGGCAGGTATAGCAGCAGTATGTGTGAGAGATGTAGAAACACATGCTTTACTCTAAATCACTTCTGAAACAAATATAAAGTAGAAAAATTCTTCAGAAAAATGATGTGCAGCTTGACTTTTATTCTAGTGAAGTTGTGTATGCCTGAATCCAAGTGAACTGTGACAATGGTATGACTTTAGCTACAATTCCGCTGTTAACTTTACCTTTTTGCTCCAAAAATCTTTTACTTAGACTTTTTCTTCTGCAAATATACATTCTTCTATTCTGGGACAAATGAGCAATCTGTGACACTTGCTTGGGACACCTATGAAGTCTTACCTTCTGAGAACCTAAGCAAAAATAAGAGGCAAAAGTGCTTGTGCTGGTAGTGTGTGATGAGTCCTTGTGGCAACCAAAAGACTCATCACCACATCAGAGTTACTCTCTGAGTTGGTTTTAGTTCCTGTGCTTCTTTTGGTTAGGTTTCTAACAAAAGAATTTGATTTCTGCCCAACTCTCGGAAATTGTATCAGCAAGCCTTTCTGAGATCCCTTGTGCATCATCTGAACACAGACGTGTATGCATGTGCGTTCAGGCCCAAATTTTCACTCTTACGGAGCCATCACAGTCAAAATTTTGAGCATGATGAAACATTGCTCTTGGTTTTCCTTTTTTTCCCCTTAATCATCTTTGGTTTCATCTCAAATGAAGCCAGCTATTCCTGGCAGCATTTATGGCATCTTGCTGGTGTTGCCATCTGCAGGCTGTAATAGTTTTAAACTGTTCATTCAAAGTCAAACTTAAATATTGTTCTTTCTTCAGGCAGTAGTCCAGAGGTAGGTTCATACTCTTGAGTGTGCACTTGAAATGAGAAATCCTGTAGAGGGTGTGCTTGCACTCTGCCTCTCCTTTGTGAGCAGCATGTCTAGGGCCATTGTTCATCCCAAAATGCCTAGAGTTGCATACTCATCCTTGTAAGTGTTACTCTTGCTCTACTCCCACCTTGCCCTCACTAGAGGGACTGCAGCATGCTGGAGGAATGGGCTGAAAGGAACCTTATGAAAGTCAACAAAAATAAATGCAAAGTCCTGCATCTGAGGAGTAGTAACACCATACACCACTACATGCTGGGGGACCAACTGCACTGAAAGCAGCTTTGCAGAAAAGGATCTGGGGACTCCTGCTGGACAAGCTGAACATGAGTCAACAGTGTGCCTTTACAGCGAGGAAGGCCAGCTGTATCCTGGCCTGTATTAACAAGAGCATAGCCAGCATATTAGAAAATAATTTCCTCTTTATTCAGTACGTTTTGAAGACCATATCATGAGTACTGTGTCCATCTTTGGGCTCCCCAGTATTAGATGGGCATTGACATACTGCAATGAGCCCAGTAAGGGCTGCCAAGCTGGCCAGAGTGCTGGTGTCCATAATATATGAGGAGAGGACTGTGGTCCTTCACCTTTAAGAAGAAAAGGCTGTAGTGAGATACTGCTGTCTACAGCTACCTACAGGGAAGGTATAGAAAAGATGGAGCCACACTTTTCTCGGAGGTGCCCAGTGATAAGGCAGTGGGGAGTGCCTGCAAGTTGAGACACAGCAATTTTCAGTTAGAAATAAGAATTTTTTTGTTTGTTTAAAAAGACCTTGGATATGCTCAAAACTCAACTGGACAAGTCCCTGAACAACTTGGTCTAATTGCACCTGCTCTGAGCAGGGGGTTGGATTATCTGACCTCCAAATGTTCCTTCCAACCTAAATTATTCTGTGATTTATCAAAAGTTACTTGTGGGAACTGGAGGTACTTATACCCAATAAATGCTCTATTTGCCACCCAAGAAGGGATCAGAAGCTTAAATTGGAGAACTTGCTGCTTAGAGGGGCCTGAAAGCCTAACATCCCAAATCCCACATTTGCCATTAACTGCCCTTGGCTTCTCAGCAGCTTAAGGGAGTCTCTGATGTGGAGCTGAGACTGTTTTCAAAAGAGGACATTCCCCAAAGGTACTCCAAGAAACGCCTCTTCCTCTCAACTTTCTGCACCTTGGCTTTGTAAAGTCAAGGCATATGGAGGTATTACAGAAGATTACTAAATGAATTAAGTTTATATCGAAGCTGCTTAATTTAATGAATTCTCCTGTATTTCATTGCTACTATTTTGGCTGAGCCAGTCATCCTGATTTTTTTTTAAAAAGCCATCCTGCTCATTAATCCTATTATGCTAAATCAAATAAGAGAAAAAAACTAATTCAAGGCCTTTCACTCTCTTGTGCTTTGACTATATTCAAGTATACATATTCAGTATTTCCCTCTTCCATTTTTCACGAGCATATAGGGAGGAAAAGTCTTACTTTCACTGAGCTGTTTCTGCAGTTTTGCTAAGGTTCCACAATAAAAATGCTGTGACAGTTGTATGCATAGCTATTTCTATATTGCATTAAAACAGTCCTCTCAAAATAGTGAATTTCCACAAAACAGTTGCCTGTTTCTCTCTTTTGTTATGGTGATTTACAGAGTCACAAGAACAGTACCTGCAATTTGTCTTCCAAGACTAATCAGAAAGTTGATAGTTAAATACCTACCTGTTATTGTGAGGTTTTTTCCCCTTCCATAGTAAGTGCACATTATATGACAAGGTACGTTGCTGTTCACATCAGTGCAATGAGAACCATAGACTTTTTGCAAAGCCAAGAAGCTGAAAAATATTGTATAGCTCAGTAACTAGCCTGTATTGCTCACTGCTGGCATCACCATAAAATCATTTTGTTAGGAAGTCTTAAAAACGTTCCAACTTACCCCAATTAACCAAAATTATTTTATTCTCTAATAGCTCCCATGGGTATCTCAGATCAAAATCTGCTAAAAGACTTCCCTGCTGCTGGAGGGCAGGCAGCTGGGGATAAAATCATTGACATTGAAGCTGCTGGTCAGGCCAAGTTAAAAGAAGGCGGCAGAGAAGAAGATGAAAGCCCCATCAAAACTCCGCAATTAGAATTGACTCAGGATGGAAAGGTATGGCTGACTTTCACACCAAAATTATTTGTTCATGTGGTATGTGTCCATGTGTGATTATTTAGTGCCTATCACTTCTGAGCATCGTATAGAACACCAATTTAAAATATTAAAGGAAAATTGTCAAGTGCTTTCTGTAGGTTTCACTTAATGTCTGTAAGCAAAAGAGAATACAAACTTCTGAATGGCATTGTCCTAGGGTTTATTTTATTGCTATAACTTTAATTTGAATTATCAATAAGCTTGCATGAGTTCTTGGAAAAAAATGTTTCAAAGGGTAAATAATGTTTTATTCATTTCCTTAGTTTGTTCAGACTTTAAAAAAAAATTGTCACTACATCCACAATTGTGTACATTCTACAAAGTTGGGTATATTATGACTGTGTTTAACTACCATAGGTAACAGTATTGTTTTAGTAGCTATTGCAGAATTATTTCATCCTTTAAAAACTTGTATGTTGACTGAGGCGTAGATTTCTGTGAAAAGTTGAGTACTTTGGCCTGTTCCTGTTGCAAACAACCATTTATTTGTCTTGTTTGTTTGAGCTACTGGGGGAATAGGTCAAAAAATTAAATTTAGATCTTGTATGATGTGATGTAAAAATTTCCTTCCAAAGTGTCAGCTAAAATCTGCTGCTCTTCTCTCTTGGAGATCATTTCTTTTTCTGGCAATTCTCCAGAATTTTCGTATTTAAAGAGTAATTTTGTTTTCAAACATTTTTGCAAGTTAGCTACCTGTTTGAGTCCTAGGGGGACTACTGAGTTTATCTGTGTGGTTCACATGTTCCCACTGCATTCAAATGTAGGAAGGGAACAAATACCAACAGTTGCATTTTTTTTGTTTGCTGGCAAGGTGAAAAATTTTGAATTAGCCTAGAAAAAGGCATACACAGAGTTTCTTTATGGGACAAAAATGGTAAAAAAAAATCACTATGTCTTGACTTTGGGCTTGGTAAAGTGGTGATACTCCCTTGTCTTCAAAGTGGCAGTATCTTTCAGTATTTTAACCAAAAGAAGAAAAAAAAAAAAAAAAACCCACTACAGTATTTTGGGAAGTTGTTCCAGGAAGCTGTTCAGTAAGGTTTTGTTACACATGCCAATTCTGTGAACAGCTTGCTTTCCCCCCTAGCGCAGGCACTTCTCTTCCGTTCTGGCTCTCTTTAAGTCTTAGAGGAAATAGTTATAAACCCAAGAATCAAAGTGCCAGCTTGTCTTTCGTGTACTGCACTGTCCCCTGACCTTTCTGCCAAAGCTTTGAATGTCTGTCCGCTTCCATCTGTTGTGAGTATTACAGTTCAAAAGTGCACAGTTCTTTACAGCCTGAGAACAAAACATTCGTAATGGGTTCCCTTCATAATCCACAGAAGTAAACAAGTTGGCTGCTTGTAAAACACAAGGGGATTTCTATTTTTATTTGGCATTTCTATTGCATTAGTAGAGCTATCCCTGCTTCCAAGTAAAAATTTTCACTAACTAATAATTTCTTCTTTTTCCCTCTTCTTGTGCCTTCAAACTTGCATTTTGTTGTGCTTTCATTTTCCACTGTGCACAGAATTTTTTTCTTCAGCTCACTCACGTACACCCATCATCACTACCCATCCATTCTGTGTCATCCCGTCTCACAAACCTGTCACCTGTCCCTGATATGGACATGCTTTCAGATATTTCAGAGGAAGATCCCTTTGGGGAGGCCCTCCTTACCATCCCAGACATCTCAGAGTGCAATTCCATAAAAGAAACACCAGATCATAATAAAAACAAAATAGCTTCACCGAATAATATCTTTGAACCTATGAGACCTCTAGTTAGTCGAGGCTCCCCTGCTGTGGAGGGAAAAATCCATACAAATGACTACAAAAGCACAGAGTTGTGCGTCTCATTCAGCTTTATCAGATGCTTTTCTTTTTATTTCCGTTCGCTTCTTGATGAGGATGGCTATATTACTTTTCCTAGCCTTCCTGATGTTTGCATCTCTTTCCTCCCACCTGGCCTTCAGCACTGTATTCCTATTACCTCTCCTTCCTTCATCCCCTCTTTTCTCCTTATTTTTGTGCTGCTTCTGTCTGCTTTCCAGTCTATTCCTTTTTCACTCACATTTTCCCTTCCTCTCGCTCTGTCCCTCTGCTACCTGGAGCCTAAGGTGACTACCTTTAGTGCCTCTAATGACAATGACCTGAATGACAAAGCAGAGGAAGAGGAGGTGTGTAATTTTGTTGCTTAAATATTGACACTTGCACATAGCTTTTATGCTTGTTCTCCCAGAGGCTTGCTCAGTTTTGCACACTTCCTAGCACAGGGATATGTCTATGTACATGCCTGCATATATAATACACATACAAACACACACACACATAGAGACATGTATATCTGTATCTTTCTAACTTTTCTCATTTGTGAAAAATTGCCATTGCGGGATTTTTAGTCAATAGATAGCTGGTGGGTTTTCTGCCCGAATTCCTACAGCATGCCTAATTTAATTAGATTCTACAGAGCTGCAGGTAGAATTGCTTTGTACTTCAAAATGTTTATGAGCACATAAACCTGAATAATGAAAGTGCTGTGTAATAATAGATGTAGTATTACTTGATACTATTTGCAAGTTGTGCTACTTGCACTATCAGTTTGTGTTAAAATGCATGTCTCCTGTGTGCATTGACTGGAATGCACCTCTCCAAAGTTCTATTTAGATCTGAAAAGTGAAATTCCTAAAAGCTGAATTCAGGAAACTGTGAATGCTTTAAAATGAGCTTTTTTGTTATTCCAGATTTCAGATGTTTCTGGTCTACAAGGGTGTGTGCAAAGTTGAGTCTGTCAAAGGCACTTTTGGGGTTTTTTTTAAGTGCTTTGATTAATTGCTAGCAGCAGTTAAGGTGGAGACTGATTTCATTCATTAGCTGGGATTGCAGTTTGTATCAGACTTTAGTCGCTGGAGTCTGAACATTCTTTGAAATACACTGTTAAAATTGCTGTACAGAAGCCTCGGTCACAGTAATATGTTGCTCTGATCATCTGCGGTGGTTGACACCTCCTTTTCTTATGTCTGCTGTGCATGTTACAGCAATACCACTAGAAAAAGATGGTTTATTTTGATCTTGAAAGGAAATATGAAACCAAATATTATAGAATCAAAAAAGGGGAGGGCCTGTTCAAGGTTATATTTAACAAAGTTTGTTAAACTGATTAAATCGATACAATGTAGATATTAAAAGCATGCTAAATATGACATGATGCCATTAAAAACACCAATCTAAGTTTAAAATAATGAAAAACATGACTTCAAAGACTTTCTCAATTTTTCTGTAGCCTAATTCAATCCACCATTTGTAACATAAAGTTGCATAAAATAGAACCCCAGATAAGCGAGAAATTAATAAAAATGTGATACATACCACATTATGTGTGCAATCACACAGAATCCAAAATGCAACAGTATGTCAATAAGTAAACCCCTCTTCAAATTTATGTACTGACACAGTGTTGACTTCTAAATGCATCTTTTCGTAAGGTTAGCAGTTGATATTAGTACCTGTGGAAAGACTGGGAAGTAGTTTGCTTTTTAAAGAATGCTGTTCCTTAAGGCATTCGGAATACTTGTAGGTAAGATAGGAAGATTTGCTATCATTTCCAACAGAGCGCATTGCAGTTTAAGGAAGAACATATTCATCTAAAAAGGGGGGGTGGGGGGCAAATGACTTATCCCAAGACAGCAACATTCTTAAAATAATTAAGACAGTTTGTAAATACAGTATTTAGGTGTTTGACTTGAATCCTAGACTCTCTTACCAAAAGACCTCATGCATTAGATTCCATTTTCCCATCAACTGGTTGCAGAGTTTAAGGCGCTTACCATAGAAATTACGCATATAATTTTTTTTTTTTGCTTTACTTATTCTTAAATTACCATCTGGGAAACACTGAAAAGTACAGCAAGAAAGGGACATAGGGTGAAACTTCCATTTTTTCATGCCGCTTATGCCAAATATTACTTCAGCCATTCAACAACAATGTAGGTGAAGGAAGACCAAAGTCGCTTAATAATTTCAACAACATCTGGATCCAAACAATAAAGGTCTGTAAATATAGCACGCTTTGCAGCATTTACAAAGAGATGAAGCCTCTGTGTTAGTCTGTAAGCATATGTTAAGGGTTGCTTTCCTTGATCATTTGCCACGTGCTCACACAGGTGGAATGTGAAGAGGAGGAAGCACAGCAGAAGGTGCATGGGTTTTTGGGGGGTTTGTGTTTTGGGGTTTGTTTTGGTTTGGTTTTGTTTTACAATTAAATCTGGCTGTAGCTGCCTGCCTTGTTAGCACCCTAAACTCTTTGTGGATTTAGTCTGAATAGTGCCTTTTCACCTTACCATTTTGTTTCCTTTATTTAACTGTCTGATTCTAAGAGTCTTTTTTTTATTTACTTGCTGGTACATTTTATGTTTATTTTGGTTTTTTTTTTCTTTTTTTTTTTTTTTTTGTGTGTGTGGCTTAATTTCACAGAGCAATTCCTTGAGAGTAGACGGGGAAAATATTTATGTCAGACATAGCAATTTAATGTTGGAGGTTTGTATATAAGATAAGAAACACTTTCCCTTTTCACGGGCTGCCAGGCTGCATGGGATGGGAGGTCAATGCAGGCTGTTATGGACACAGTGCATGAAGTGCATGGGGAAAAACCAGCTTGGAAATGTTGCATGTTATCATTCTAGTTTCTGAGTTTAAATTATTTAAAAAAAAAAAAATCCAAACAAACAAAAAAAGCCCTCAGCTTGAATGTTGAATGTACAATTTGTGTATTTTTGCCAGATGCTTTCAAGGTGGCAACTGGGAATAATAGCCCTATTTAGATAAAATGAACACATGGGTCCAATTCATAATCCTAAACAGGATTTTTGTACATTGCTCCTCAATGTGTGCATCTTCTGTTGAGCGGGGTTTCTAGTTTTCACCAGTTTAATCAACCTTTATCAAATACATTATCTGAATAAATGGAGTTAGTAAGGCACAAGCAGTGATAGAAGTATGGAAAACCTAATTCTGGTTCTGACGCTTATTGACTTTTAGGAGCTTTGAGAAATGTATGTGATGATCAGATTTTTAAAGGGAATGTTTAGATGGTTCTGAAATCTTTGCCTTATTTTTTCACTTTTGAAATGGAAGTAATTCTTGCTTCCTAAAGGTTGGTTTTCATTGAAGATGAGCAACAACAAAGAGCTTTGAGCAGTATGTTAATGTGTAGTGCTTAGTCACTGAAGTAGAGATTTTTATTATAAGAATTTCCATATAGTCTGTTAATCTGAATTATTTTATCAAAGACTGTCTGTAGTTATAATCAATGTCATTTTACTTGTGGTTAATAACATAAACTAGTAACTGAAGAAATTTTAGAAAATCCTACTGCTGTCTTTATTTTATTCATCCAGATGGGGCTATAAATAATTCCCTTTGTCACAAAAACTGTCTTTTTAAAAATCATTGGTTTTGTTCAGTAATAAGGCGATGTATGGATTGCAGTAACCCAACTAATACATTTTTTGGCTTTTTGCAGCTTTTGATCACTATTGAAACTTTGCTTGTGTATAACTTACTAAAGCACTGAAAGTGTGCATTGCGTAACTGTGCTTTGATCAAGTCCAAGAAACGTGCCTTGTGTCAGGCCAAGACAGGTTTTAAAATTATGACATGATTGTTAACGAGCTTCAGTTGGGTAATAGAATGCCTTTGGCATAAGGTTTTACTTCACTCAGAAAATACGTACTTTAGGGGGGACATATTTCATGTCTCATTTGTTAGTTCTAGATTAAAAGTGAAGCATTGGTCCTGTGACAGTAGGAGCCTACTGAGTTGCCAGAAGGGGAGAGGTTCTTAGTGTTCAAAGTGCATGTGTTAATACTCACAGAATTAGGAAATAGATATGTAGCACCAAACTGTTACTGATGCTGAGCATGCAAGTGAAAAGAAATTAGAAACTGATGAGTTTGTATTGGGTTTGGATTTTTCATGACTGAAGACGGGGTGTCTTCGCATTGTGAGCACTGACTATAAAAATCCTAACCAAAATGTTAAAGTAAAATTTCAAAATGTTCTGTTACAAAGTATATAAAATCTTTGTGCAAAACCCAGATGTTTTACCTAAATTATTATATCTGATTACATTCTTTTGATAAAATGTTTTAAGAATTATGTCTACATTGATATTATTCCATTTTAATCTTCAGTCTTTTAATTCTGTACTAAAAAAGGATCTGAGGCTTAAAATTGAATTTCACCACAGAATACTGAAAAAATATTCTTGTGTTAAGAGTGTGCATAACCAACACAGGCTTCTCTCAAGACCTGGCATGCTGGAAGGAGGACAGATTGTAAAAGCAGAATGAAATCTGCTCTTCCCACCAAAGCCCAGCATTGTATTTAAAGGATAATAAATTTCCAGAAGAGCTAAGCAGTTAGATTTTTGCCTACTTACCAGAACAGTTATGTTTCTGCATAGCTCCTGATCCTTATGTCCACTCCTGTATCTGGTATAAAGTGCAAGACTAGCTGGTAGTTATGTGATCCAAGGTGCTGCAGCTTAGCCTCACTGGCTTATTACAAAACCTAATGCGATATTCACGCTGTGGTGTCCCCTTTGGCGCTTGCCTACGTAGGTGCAATTTAAAGACAACCTCTCTTTGGTATTGGTGTGCACAAAAACTATCCCTACTTGAGTGCTGTGTCTGCTGTCAGGTTCTTAAATGTGGAATTGGCAGGTATCAGGCTTTTAAGTCTTTAAATCTGATTCTTCCAGTAAGTTTAAGCCTATGTGACAGGCACAATGAGTAGTCCCTCTGAAGTTAAGCAGGTGTTAGTTGCTTGCATATTTGGCCCTGTAGTATTGTCTTCACAGAAGCAAGTATTTTTCATGGAGCTTGTAATATCAAGAAAGATGCATTTTTATAATGCTTCTTGGGTTAGACTATTCCTTCTTACAGCTGCCTTCAGTAATGTTAGCTGTGCAATATCCCAAAATGCTTGCTTCTGTGCTTACAAATTTTAGATGAAAGCAAGCAACTACTGGAAATTATTATTGTTTCATAGGGCTAGTAGTTGCATGTTTTGGATGAAAATAGCCCTCTGTTAAATAACCATACACAGCCTTATTTTTCCTTTGCCTCAAAATATGGAAGAAACAGTGTATAAGTGGCCCTTCATTTCAAAAACGAAACCAAAAAAATATTAGTTGCCTTATAGCCTTAAACTTTTTTAAGGCACTCCAAAGAACAATAGCTCTTTTTTAGGCACTTTCCTTGGTTTGGTTTCTTTTTTTCTTTTTTTCTCTCCCCCCCCCCTTAAGTTTGCTTTTGTTGTCGTGTTTTGTCCTACTTTGTTTTACATCGCGGGTTGCTAGGACCTGGATAAGACCCAGGACGACTTACTGAAACACCAGGCTAGCATTAGTGAGCTCAAGCGCAATTTCATGGAATCAACACCTGAACCACGCCCAAATGAGTGGGAAAAGCGGCGTATCACACCTCTGTCCCTACAGACACAAGGGGTATGTCACTGCAGACGCTTGTCCGCATGCGTTTCCATACAACCCTGTATGTAATGTAGTAAATGCAGTTTTTCCTTTACATTAACACTTTCTTTGGCTAATGTAATATTTGTTTATACTAAGTATACATTAACTTTTTACCAATTACCATTGGACCTGACTTTAAATAATGTGTGGAATTTCATTCTTCTACAAGAACAACTGAATTAGAATCACTAGAAAAAAATGGAGCCGATGGCAGTATTTTCTTGTGTGTTAAGGACAGCTTAAATTTCACTCTGATTTACACAGATTTATGGAGATGACTGTTCAGTTAGAGTAGAACTTTTCCCTCCTTTTCCCTCTCTTTAACTTCTTGTAGACAGCTTGTGCATAAACACACACAGAGCCTGTGTGTTGTTTCAGAAGGACCTTACATGATCAGTTAATTTACAGTGTTGACTTCTTCAGGACATATTTAACGTAGTTGTTAAAATTTACTGACCTTAATCTCCAAAAGTCTGTCAAACTAATTTACCTACTTTTTCTCTATACCTCCTTCCTGAACCTTAAAACAGCAGTTTGGAAAATGATTTTCTACAAGTATCATCCTGAATGCCTGTGGCAAGAAAACTACCCAAATAAATTTCTCTTGCTGTTGTGAAACTTTTAGTTTTATGAGGAGTTATTTGCCACTTCTTTCATAGAGTAGAAGAGCAAATCAGTCTTCGAAAGCAATCAATTTATCTTCTGTTGTTATCCTTTTCTTCCACCACTGTTCCTACCCTTCCCTCCTAAATGTGGTGGTGTCCTATCCCATTAAATTCTTAAGTATTCTCTTCAGTCCCCAGAGGGGTGAACTTTCAATTAAGCTTGCTTGATGCTACCAAATAAATTTTGTTAATAAGATATTATTTCAATAAGATACTTAAGCAATCTGAACTGTGAGTATCTGCATACAGATAATATGGTCACTAGCTGTATGGATCACTTCTTTAATGACTATTTTGTTAATTTATGGTTAATGCCAAGAAATTATTCCTCAGATTTCTGAGTAATACCTGAATATTTCTATGCATAGTGGTATATGCATAGGTACAAATGCTGGTCAAATTTTCAAATGTCCATTACGTTCATTCATTTAATAGCTATAAATATCTTTTTGGTTAAAATAGACATTTATGTAAAAGTGTAACTTAATTCTTGTTATGTGGTTGTGTGCATTTTCTGTGTTGATTTCTTTGTATTGAAGTTGAGGCCCCTCCAAGTTCTTTTATCTCTGGGGCTTTTTTTTTTCTCCTCATCTAGTATGTTCTGTCACTTTCAGATAGTTTGGTTTTATGTTTATGTATAGTGTGTGACTGTCTCATTGCTTGTTGATTTATACTGGTCTTATAAAATGAAAACCAAATAGAAAAAAAGAGACCACATTTTCCAAGTGAAAACGCTGCCTGGGAAGGAGAAGCAATGGACCGCAATGCCATGGATTGCTGGAGCAAAACCAGAGGAAACTGATAAGGTGGCTGCCCTGAAACCTACTGCCTTTTTGCTGTATCTGCTGTGGGCTAGCTTGGGCACTTCTCTCTTTTTCTTTTTTTTCCCTGGTGGCAAAAACTTTTTTAAGCCATTACTGAAGGGAGAAGGTTGAGTTGTAAATTGGGATCTCTGTGTGTGTATGTGTATATATATACACGTATATGAATGCCAGCATCATTCTCTTTAAACTGTGAAGTTCCGAATGGTTACTATTTGAAAAGAAAGCCAGTTTTTCACCAGAAAATTACTGTATTTTATGTGACTAGGATGACAGCAAAACATGTATTTTCATTCTGTATGGAAGTTCTCTGCAGTTATTTGACACTTCACACAAGAACTTTTGCTTTACATGTTCACTATGTAATCATTATTCAAGTCAATAATGCTGTAGAAGCACCTTCATTTCAAAGGCAGCCCAGTTTTGAGTTCCTTCACACTTCCATACCTCTCTTTTCATCTAGGAAAAGAGAGAGGTTTTCTCCCCCGTAAGCTGGTTTAACATCTATGCAGTGAAAAACACTATATAGCCAGTGGACTACTAGCAGTGTGATAGTGATGATGGGTAGCAATTGCGATGTTGCTTTTTTACATCACTGTTGGACTATTTTCCATCACCTAGAAATTGGGACAAAAGTAGGTTAATGTAAAGCTGTCAGTCCTATTTCAGAAACATATATAGACACGAAGTTTGGGAAACAGCGTATTTCCATTCTGAATTATTTGTTGATGAATGTAGAGAAGTTTGTGTTCAAGTGTTTTGTTACCCCCAATTTATAAACTTGCTGGTATTAGTGGACTACTACATTGCTCAGTCCTATTCCTGGGCTGTATGTTTCCTTGCCTGTCTTTTAGGATAGTTGGACAATAGATGAGAATTAAGCAGGGATACCACCACTAATATTCTTTCTTTTCTTCCTTCTTTTGCTCCAGTGAGAATACTTGCAAATAAGTAATTTTCTGTGTATGAGAATTGTTATTTTGGGTATATCTCATTTGTGCCACTATACTTCTGTATCAGCGTACTCCCACAAATGCACAGCATCTGTGACTTAAATGGTGACACATTGATATGTATGTCACAAATAAATACATGAAATGTTGTTTATGTCATGGATACCCACACTATTTTACTTTTTTTAATCCACACACCCCCCCAGCTGCCTGTAAACCGTATTTCATGTTAGTCTATATGACTGTGTACCAGAAGGAATTTGCCAGGTATTTAAACATCTTCATGAGTTGATACATTATTGTAACTACAGTAATTTGATGAAAAATGCCAATTCTATCTATACATTTAATCATTTTTACTAAATGCCTCCTCAGGGAACAGGGGTTACATTATCAGACAAATTGTGTAATTGGGGTTTTCCTTGTAAAAGATTAGAAGACCTAAAAATTTGAAGGTGGTAAAATGCAAAAAGATGGGTGGTTTGTGCCTGTCTTTAATTACATATATATACGGGTTTTTTTGGGGGGGGGGGGATGCGATGCGATGCGATGCGATGCACACAGTCTGACCACATACCACATAAAGCTTTTTTTCCCCCTGCCTTGTTTTTTACTGCTTTGAATAGTTGGAAAACATGTGGTACCAGAGTACGATAGAAGGAGCATCATGAACATATTTACTTTTTGATGTACTGTATTAATATGTGAACATTTAGTGGGAGTGGTAACCTACTGGGGGTGAGGAACACATTGCCCTGATGGATATTGAACGTTGCATCGAGGGCAGATTTAGTAACTTGCATTCACATTACATTTTCTTACCCACCTTTGAAATAAACTGTAAATTTTATCATAGGGAAAAAAATGTAGGGGTTCTTTTTCTTTTCCTTCTCTGTTCTTCTGCATGCCGTATGTGTTGTAGTGTACGCACAGTAGCATGGTGTAACTTAACATCAGTCCAGATTCTACACTGCTACTCACACGGTGAGTCCACACGGATGGCAGTCGTCTGCGTGGCTCCTTGGCTTTTCCTCTGGCGTGTGCTTCTGCCGTGATTCTCTGTAGTACTGTTTTCTAAGCCAGAAATGTGTCTTATTGAATGTTGTCAAAATGTGTGTTACGTCCATGTTAGGTATTTGTTACATTATTGGCTTTCTAGTTTAACTGGTTTTACTTCTAACTTAATACAAGAGCTCGTGGAAGGAAAACTGGAATAAAGAATTTTAGCCTTTTCAGAGGCTTGTACCCACGTAATTTTAAAAGTTTGCTTTACCATACAGATTTATAGTACTAGAGAAAATAGACCAGGCTATGAACATAATTTACACTTTAAAGCAACGCACCCTTTAAGTATGCTTGAATAAAGCAAGTTTTCCCAGTAAAATGGGAAAGGCTTTTTTAAAACAGATTCTTTAATAGCAACGAATTTGCTTAGGTTATTCCGGCATTTGAAAAACCTATCTGTAACACGTATTATAAAGAAAACCTCGTTTAGGCGTCGTGGGTATGTATCGTTCAAAGCAAATGTATTTGACGACCTGAGCCAATCAGGCATAAGGCGGCGTTAAAAATGGATTTTTAGAAGGGAGAAATCCCAATGGTAAATGCGGGGTTACTGCCCGAGTGAACTGTTCTGCCTGGAAAACCCGTGGAGATGTGGAGGTGTTCAGCTTTCGTAGCGCGACACGCGTGGCGAGGGGCGCTCCCCGCCCGC